TGCAGGTGTCTATTCTGAACTCTTCTCTTTCTACGCAGCAGCGAGACACAATAGATCCACTTTTGAAGGAGAAATAGAGGCCATTAGGATAGCACTATGTCAATTATGTTGCCTCGATACGAAATTCACTAAAGCGGTGATACTTTCGGACTCACAGTCAGCAATAAACACCATTGGAAACAGTGAGCCTCCAAAAACAGCTGCGATAAAGGAATGTAGAGAACTCTATCAGCTGCTGATAGAGAAAAACAAAACAGTGGTCCTACAATGGATTCCTGGTCACTGTGGCATTAAAGGCAATGAGCTTGCTGACACACTTGCTAAGAAGGGGACAACGATTTTGTAATGCACGGACCGCCCGATGTCCTTCCACACAATGAAGGCCTTAATCAGAAGAGAATTCCAGACCTCAAGGCCCAACGAACTCAAAGCTCGAACAAAGGAGAAACAGTGGACAGTGGCACTCTCCGACATACCTGACTGGCCAAGAATCGAAGCCGTTGCTGAGTTTAGACTACGTACCGAACACGATTGCTTGGCAAAACATCTTCACCGATTGGGAGTATACACTCAACCACATGCCCCCTATGTAACCAACAGGAGGAAATGGAGAAGACCCACCTGATTCGATGTCCAACTCTAAAGACAACGACGGAAAGCCAGAGATACTGGGATGCAAGAAGACAGCTAATGAATTGCTATTAATTAACTACGATAAATGTACCCTCCACCCTTGGGGGAAGCTGAAGTCAAAGTTTAAGAGCTTATGATAAATATCATAAAGCCTGCCATTTGAAATAAATAAAATACATTTCAACAAGCTAAAGTTGCATTTGTGATGGAAAACCTCACGGCTCTTTGATCCCATCCTTGGCTACCACTGTTCTGGGGGTAAAAGTGTAATCAGGTCAAATAAAGTATGACTTATTATTTCTTTCATAATACACACCAAGGCATACCACAATCATGGCCAATAATCCTTGGGAAATATGAATAAGTAAAAAGAAAAGGCAGCTACCATGAACAAAAAAGTACTACTTTGGCATAAAAGTTCCGGTTTGAAGTCAGAAAAAAGGAAAACACGTAAGCAATATATATGAAGCCAATAGTTATTGTAATAGCCTTTCCCATCGAAGATATTATTATTATACTAATTTTCAGGCTTTATAATTATCATTATTTCTTATTTCTCATTAGCTCCACCTCCCCCCAATCGAAGATATTAATTTGGTTAGACGTGAATATTTTTTAATCATGCAAAATGGAGATAGGGGAGGTGAAGCAACCAAAAATAAGGCCACTTAATTTGAATTCAAAATTTGTCGATCTACCGGTGTTTTAACTTAATTTCTCTTCGGTAACCAAGGGAATATATTTGGTATTAGTCAAAATAATATCTAGATAAACTTCCTTTCATCAACTGATATTTTTTCAATTAAAGAGGCATTAAAATTTCATATAGGCAATTGATGAGAGGAAATGGAGTTAAATATTAAGGAATCAGATTATAGACCTAGTCCAACGTAATCAAGTAAGTGATTAATGTGAAAAGTATATTCTGGCAAAAATTAGCATCTATAGGTTATCTTAATAAATAATATTACAATAACCATTTTAATAAATTCAAATATCAACTTATTCCGATAGGGAAAAATACGAAAAGCATTGAATACATAAATATTTATATTTTGGAAAAAATTATGAATCTCATCGATTATTGCCCTTTATTCGATTAAAGTAAGTGCTTATTTTCATATTACTTAAATAAGCTTTTAAGAATAACGAATCAGCACTCTTGAAAACAGTGTTTCAACACGAATCAAGAATACCTCATTAAAAAACCATAATTAAGATGCCTTATTTGGAACACACCAGTATTATAAATATGAGCCCATAGAAACGTGATCAAAGGTTAAACGATTCAATTTGGCATGAAGCTAAATGGCTGTGGATGGGGTTTAAGGTTAGAGCTATTTTAAGAGCACATTAAGCTCCAAATTTATATTTTCAAAAATTAAAAAAACACACAAATTAATTTTTAAAAAAATTAATCAAGCAAGTTTTCTACTTTAGAAATAACTGTTTTAGTCAACACAAGGAAACGGGAATGAACAAAATGGTTTTTAGTTAGCTGCGAACGGGATTCTATAACCACTCGGCATACTTTGAGACGCCCCGGTTTATTTTGTACAACAGCTAATTATTGAAGAATGCAAAAAGATAAACTAAGAGGTCAGAAAGGACATTTCTCAAAATTTGTCATTTACCTCAAAATAGATTGAGTTACAGCTCGTCCATCCCGAACCATCAGAATAAACTTTGCATTTGGATAGAGGTCAAGAAGTTGTTTGAGGCACAGATCAATAAAGGGATCCTTGGCACACATTCTCTCCGCTGGTGGGCCAATTTCATGAATAAGAGTACTAATAGCCTTAATGAAAATGGAATCAACTAGATCCTCTGTTATATTAGCCAATTCCAAACGAGTGTGCAATGATTTGATTTTGAAGGTATATAGATTGAGGATTAGAGGCAAGATATGAGTCTCAGGACCACATCGAACATCTGGATGTACATCTAAGAGGACGCGCATGAGCGTTGTTCCTATAATTCATGAAAATGTATTGAATGACGCAACGATTGTTGACCGATTACAATTGCTACTTTCAATTAAACAGTGCGGGACATAAAAGTGGGGAATTTGAGTGGAAAGATGTTCATCAATCTAGCACAATAACTTGACTATTGGTCCTATTATTAGTTAAAAATCAGTAAATATATAAAAATTTTCTATTATGAGCAGAAAATGAAAGTTTCCAGAAAGGTAGTGGGAGCAATTTTGAAGAACTGAGATTCATTTCTTCAATTGGAACAAATTCCCGTTCACGATGTTCAGTGCTTTTTGACAGTTTTTGCAAGTAGAAAGACTCGGTCTTACCCCCTTCAACTAGATTTATTTCCAGCCATTAAAAAGACTAAATAATCTTAGTCAATTTTTACCAAGATAAATTCTCAACACCGCAGGTATGAAACTGTTGCATAATTTGTTAACCCTCTTTACACTATCTTTTCAGAAGACGTAAGGGCCTACACGAAGGCATGCAAATATTAAAATTTGATTTAAATTTTGCTTGCCCAACCCAATTATTTTAGAAATTGAGTAAAGTGAAAAATAAAATTGTATATTTGAATTGGTAGTGGAATTAATATATGAAGATTGCTTGTCATTTCTGCACAAGCGCGTTACACGGCACAAAATAATTCTTTTGATATGAGGTCTGCAAAGAAGTCAAAAATGTGACCGAAACACTTTCATCCGATAAGTTCCAATAAAGGTAAAGCAATAAAATTAAAAAATCATGGAATGTGCAGGTGGTACAGTGATCAGAGTTTAAAGCTACAGGAGCGATTCCCATACGTTGACACGGGTGAAGTAGATGAGTAGTAGATAGCTATGACATATCGTGAGCAGATAGAGCATATTTTTACCACTCTACGAGTCATTTCACTTCTTGAATGTTAGTTTGGCAGCTTAATATCATACGACGCAATTATAATGACAGTTAGAACTAATCTTTGTTCAAAACTAAGCAAGAAAAACTAAAATCACGAAATGAAACAGGCGTATACATACTAAAGCACCTAATATATGTGCTGTCTATTAAATTAAGTAGTACAAAATAACCCGGACAGCTGTTAATATTAATTAAGATTCAAGGGCAGGAAGAATGATATTCGCTTTACTTACTTGACGATTCAGGAGGTTTGCTTCCCAATAAAAAAGGCAATAATTTGGTTTACAACTACATATGCGTACATTTTTGAAATCAAAATGGCTTAACTATTTCCCTATGTAATTAGCCTTAAATGTACAGATTTATATACGAGATAGGATGCAGATAATTTGGATGTGAAAAATTAGAGAGTAAACATTAACATGTAAATTAATAAACCAACCGCTTCTGGGAAATCCACCAATGAAAATTAGTGGTTCGTTACTTAGCGTCTGAGAGTCATCGCATGAAGAGAATCCCTTACAAAAGGGTAAAAACCACGGTAAGCGTTTCAAATAGTAGATTCCACAAAGGCAGATTAAAAGTGAAATGATCAATTGACATCGTTTTCGAGATAGATACACTAGAGGCATGTCACGTTCCTACAATCAGAATGAACGATTAACAAACAATGAGATTGGAATTAATTAAAATTTCAAGGCTCTGTTAGTTCCCAAAATAAGATATATGTTTGCAAGCATTCTCATAAATGTGCAAATTTAGAATTAGTACCCATGTGTGTACAAATTGAGCAAGTCTGAACTAAAGCCGCTAAAGCCTTCAGATTTAGTAAATTATTAAATATAATAAAACGCAAAGATCAGAAATTTATCTAGAAAAAAAAACTATTTGAGGCTTACATATGGCCAAATTTAAATGTTAACATACAGAATAAATTGACATTGTAGGATCTTTAAAATGTCACCTATCAATAAAAATTTCAATATCTCAACTGGTTCATTTGAGTGTTTTACTTTTCAGCTGAAAATCCCCCAATTAATAAAAGTTAAAGATCACGCTTATTATTTTCTTTCATATTTTTATTGCTGAATTCATGGTAACTATAAGCTTTGATTCCTTTAATCACAGAAATGTTGTGGTCAAATAGCGTGTATGAATCGTTCGTCGAAAACTGTATAGTCTCCTGGTTACTAAATCAGTAATATGTGGATTATCTAACTAATACACTTTGCTTGTATTGTAAGTCCTATCAAAATGACTAAATATCGATCTCTAATGTTAAGTGCTTATTCATAAATGATAGGTCGGGATCTCTGCCCAGTCATTAATAAATCCACAAGGTAGAAGCTAAATCATTAATCTCTTTTATGCTTTAATTAGTCCGGAGATAATTCAATGACATTTTAATAATTTAACTTGAACGGAGTAATCTGGTAGTCGTACGATGCAGAAATTGGAAAGTTCAGTATTATCACATAAAACTCTGCATAAATGATCAATATGACTGATTTTCTTTTTACTTACAAAAGATCTAAAGCAATTAATAGTCGGTCAAAATCAGAGCCCAAACAACTTCATTGAACTTGAAGTTTGCAATGCACAAATTCAAATTCCCAAAGATATGGGAAGAAAAACTCTCAGTTGCATGACAGTCATGCCGAGAAACCGTCACATAGTCAGTCTTAATAAAAGGATCTCTAAATTAATAGTGGAAACTTTTGATGGGTTGTAATTTAAACATTAGATGATTACAAATTTCACACTTCAGATATTTAGTATAAATACGAAATATTAGATGAAAAAGAACGAAAAATTTAGGAATTCTATTAAAATTAATAATAGGTGGAATAGAAAACCATAGCAACCAAACCTGTAATCAAACTTCGATAAGCTACAAAATTTTTATGAACGGGAGGTCATGAGATGAAACTGAAAAAACAGTCTACTGTGAGTTAAGCGACATAGACTTTGCTAGGAAATGTTTATTAAAATTTCGCTTTCAAAGACAATAGTATTAAATCTTCTAATTAAGCAGCTCGAGTCCAAAGCCTATTTTGATAACTGGAAACACAAGTAACTGCCTTAAATGAATTTTGAATGTCATTTTTTCGAATCAAGAAAACTTGAGAAAAATGTGAACATACGATTCACTTTCCATCAATGGAAAAGTGTGAACATAGGACTAAAATAAATATCTTTGTTGCCGGTTTTTGTTATTGTTGGAATAATGAAAAGATCTTAAAATTCACCTTAAATTTCATATTTGATGGTCTACAAAAAATGAACGAAGAAAACATTACAACAACAATATAACTATTATGGAGAAGATAAGTTAATGAAATATGTATAACTTAACTAAACAAAACAAATATTTCAAATATGCGCTATTTTATCAATATGCTTACTAAACTCGGAACATAAATTAAGAAACTCAGTAAAATAAACAGATGCGCACTAGCTAACAAGAAAAATTAAACATTATGAAAGAGTTCAAAGTCAATAATTCGAGGAAAATTATGAAATAATTTTTAATCACTATCGTCTGTGTTGTCCTGAAGCTTTTATTAAAGAGGAATAGCTATTTAACTCGTTTGACGTTATGTTTAATTATAAATGAATGAAAAGAATTATGAATGCTCACACTTACCTTAAGCAGCCCTCTAAATTTCAGTAACACAAAATACTGATCTTATAATACGCGGGAAATGCAAGGACAAGCTCAAGTTGCATATTTAAATATTAAAACATATAAAATATTGCTAAAATAAACTAACGTTATTTTTACGCTGTAAATTTTGTTAATGGTTCTAAGCAATAATTAGTTGTTAAATAATTTATTTACAAAGGTATTTATTCTTTTAAAAACAATTTTAACTACATGGTTATGAATATTATATTTTACATTAAGTCAGCCAACTAAAATTCACAACTGTTGTCTGTTGTGAGATTCAAGATTTACTTCTTAATTTTTAGATCTATGGGGAAACTTAATTTTATGAACTAATTTCACATATTTTGTTATTGGTAAATAAAAATTTTTTATGACCACGCTCATAAGCAATTTTTAAATTCGTCCCAAAATTATGTATGTTCATTTATTGGCACTAATATAATATCTTTATTTTATGCATGAAACTTAGGTTTATGTACTTTGCTTGTGAATGTAATGCAACGCCCCAATATAATTGCTAAAGAATATAATTTAACTCACAATCGATATGAATTTCTGACGGAGTTATTACAGAGTATACGGTGATTATTGAATACATATTCCTCCAAAGTATAAGTTCAGCGTAACAGAAGGCATTTGAATTCGTAGCTGCAATGCAAGGACATGCATTGAGATGGCTAAAGGGACCATTGAGGGTAGATGACATTATTAGAAGCACATGTTAACCTTAACAACATGCAATATTTTTGTGCTCATCTGCGAAACTGAAGTAGTTGTTTTAACCGTTTTATGGATATTCCAAAATTTTACAACCTTTTCAGTGCAAGATACTATATCTCGAAAAGATATCGAAATAGTATCATAAGTAAATGATATGTGGCAACATCGGTTTTAGTGCTCCTCCATTTAGTTAATATTAGCATGAACACACCCAGTGTCCGGAATAACCAATGGCTATCTTCTCAAGACTTCAATGGAACAATTTTGCTATTTCTGCGAAGAACTAAACCATGACAATTAGCTCCAGTATGGAGCCGATATGAAACAACGTCCGATGATCTAAAGTGATAAGATTTCGTCTAAAGCGTCTCATAACAAAGTTTCAGGTTTGTGAGCATAGATAGTGATAACTGCTTAATTATCATGTGGAGAAATGGACGAATAGATGGATTGTTTTGCATATAGACCATAAGTTATTCATAATAATGTAAGTAATTCCGAGTGGGATCCATAATGATTCGTTCGGTTGCCCCTAGTCCATAAATAAATTTGGAACCAGATACTCGAAAAAGAAGATTTTTCCAAAAATTTGCCTCTCCCTTGTTGGCATTTCTGTTTTAATTCCAACCCTATGTGAAGTAACAGTTTTCTTGAATTTAACTTTTCCACATTTAAAAATTACCACGAATCATCAGGCTAAGGGTTCAGAAATCACTGGTCGGTGTTTAAAGAGATCTAAAAAATGTCCAGACATTAAAAATCATCATGAATGATGAAAAGGGTCGTCAAGATTCACAAACAAAACGCCGATTCAGTTAAAATGGGGTCTAAGTTATGACAGTACTCACTGAAGGCTGGAGACTTCAATCGGTACCTGCTCCTTGAACACAATGCTTTTGGTCAAGATAATTCTTCAACAATAAACCAGGGACGTGCGCCAATTGCAGGCAAAGACGGTTCGACATGATTGATTCCTTATGAAGCAATATTTATGTATAAATTTAATTTTTATATCAATAAATCGGACTATCGTTCCAGGCCACCTTTAAGCAGACTTAGGGACATAAATAGCTCAACCAGTTCATTTTACATGGAACCGATCCGCATTAACTTATCATTGCTACTCTTCTATATTCCTGAAAGACTGCGATTATCGTCAAATAAGCGACCAATTAGAAAATTGCTAATTAGTACATTTCGTGATAAATGAAAATGTCCAAAAATATCGTTTTGATGATTAGGAGGAAACAGAATTCCCTGCTTAAACCACTATGACTTGCTGAAGCAGAGTATTTGTTTTGATCTTTGAGGGCACTCGTGCATATATTAGCTTAAAAGCGTTAATTCTGAACTTAATCTGCGTGTTGATGGAAATGAAGAAATCTAAGATTCACCATAAGGCGGTCTGATTATGTTGCTTCTAGTGTTTTTTATTTTCTTACTTCTTTACTTTGTTGTAACTCTGACTCCTCACCCCTCCCCCACTTTTTTCCTAGAGTTGCACGAAAAAAATTACTGATGTCAAGCTCTGCCGAAATGCACTTCATTGCTCCTAAATTGATCCTCATCAAGACACGCTAATAAGGCAAGTAAGTATGAATTGGCCTATTCCAAAGGGGGCAACAGATAGAAATGGTGAACTCGAAATTTGAAGAGTAAAAAATTTGAGTGGGAGAGACCATTTTGTTCAGATAACCCCCGGCTCCTCTACCACGAGCGAACGACACGAAGCTGGGGGTGTGTGTCCTGAACTGGCCAATGACCACACGGTTCTTCTGTGATTCGTCTATTCCAATGGTCCATTCAATGTGAAGAATTTGTGTTCTTACTTGGATAGCTAAGAAGAGAGCTTACTTAATTAAGGGGCTGGTGTCTTTGCTTTGACCTCCGAATACAAGTACCGATTTAGTTCATGCTGCAGCTAAGTTCTGAGAAGCTTGTAAGGTCTAAAGTTTCCACAGTTTAGTATTTCTTTCATCAATTACTTCTGAGTACTAACTTTTCTGTCGTTGTTTTAATAAAGATTTAGAACATAAAGAGTAAATATGTGTATTTACTAGTCGAAATAGCCAATCTAACCTTGGAAATTCGGTCTTGGAGATAAAAACCATTTAGCTTCTTCGACAGGTTCTACCAATCGATATAACTGTTAGTTAAATTAATCGGCAGTATGATGCTTAAATCTCTTCTTGATTTCTCAACAAATGTTCTAACCCATAATCATCTCTTTTACATGCCTAATGTTAATGATAACGCTGTAGTATTGTCTGTACGATCAACCACTTCACTTAAAGATCTTCAATTGTCTAGACATGGTCACTTGAGATGTTCTTTATCAGCCTAGCTCCATTCTTCTCAAGTGTTATCCCAATTGGAAATTTTGCTTTCTTTCTTGACAATTCTCGCTTTGCGTCCCACTCGAACAAGCCAATCCGAAGTTTCATTAAAAATAAACAGAAAGTTTTTAAAAAATAAGACTATATTTTGTATGAATTATTTATTGATGAGAGTATTAGTACTATGCATGATTGCATAATAAAAAGTTGAACATATATTAGCAATAAATAATCGGTGAAGTAGTTAGATGTAACTCCAATCATTGCTATTTGCCTTGCTTTCCAGCGGACGATCTCGAGTTTCAATCAGAGCTCGAGTAATTCCCGTCTCCAGTGCTCTTGAAATTTGCACACTATTGCCCTCCAGGAAGCTTGTGGTCAAGTTCTTGTAGTTATCGTAGAACTGCAGTGGTGGTATTGTTGGCATTCCCATAGTGGTAGAATTTGTTGTCGGTTGGTCTAGACAGGCCAAACAGAGATTCTGCAGACTGCTACTCTTTAGTCCATTATTGAACCGCTCAGATTCATCATTATGCAGAAGCAGAAGTCCATTTCTAGCTGGTGAGGGCAATGTATAACAAGTACCAACATTAGGTCGCTCTTGTTCCATAACTGAATTTTCCTGTGGTTTGGTAGTTGCTGGGGCAATTACTTTTTCTTTCTCGCAACAGCTTATCAGCGTTTCAAGCAGAATTTTCCCTCGAAAAGCCAATGTTACAAATAGAACAATGAGTAAAAGGCCCATAAGTGCACAAAGGAAGCTTGAAATGATATCGATTGAAGTCCACTGAGATGTTGAAACACCATTGTCCATGGACTGTTCAGGAGATAATAGTCTCTTTTGACCACTAGATCCCACTGACGGAATAGCTTCTGAGGGTTCGGTGCTCAAGGATGGTGCTCTGGTAATTTCTGTTAAGCAGAGGGTACGGGAAGCAAAGAGTTTAAAAACGCCCTCAGAAAGGACTCCGTAACTCGAATCTGGTTTCATGGAACTCAAGAGGCACGTTTTGTCAGCAAAGTCCCAGTAAACTTTGATTAATTTCTGTACGCCTCCGAAAATGTAGGGATCGATATAGGAGTAAAATGCTGGTGCCTCTAGATGCATTGGACAAAAGAGTTTGGGATTTCGGGAGAGATCAATCTCACGTAAATTAGGAGCGCCTTGGAAAGCCCCTCGAACAATGTACGTCAAGTTATTATTAGAGAGAGAAATGGTCTTTAGTTCTGTTAAGCAGCGAGTTTCAGCCCCCTCTCTACCATATGCCCAAAGAGGGCTCCTTATTCCAGTTATAAAATTCCCGGAAAGATCGATGGTTTCCAATTGCAAAGTATGTCCAAGAACACCACTTTTAAAGGTTGAAGCCACCTCTAGAGTTCTTTTAGACGTCCAGTTATGTCCCAAAATACGAGAACTTAAGCCCATGACTTCATCGAGACTGCCGCTCAATTGGTTATAGGAAAGCTGTAGCACTTTGAGATTACGACAGCCGGATAGACTATTACGATCCAAACTTTTAATATAATTTCGATCCAGATACAGTGAAACCAGATCATTAGGTCGAAAAGCATTTAATGATGTATGGCATAGATTAACTAAATAGCGACTAGTAAAGGTTCCTGTCAGACTGACATTCGTAAGTCTCAACTGTTGCAGATTCGTAGGTGTGTCGAAAAACAAAGGCTTGGTGTTATCCAAATTCATTAAACAATCCGAGAAGGCAATAAGCTCCAGCTTTGATGAGATTTTGTAAAAGTTTGCTGCTTCAACGCCGTCAACTTCTATGTCAACATTGTGGAGCCAAATTCGACGAAGGTTTCCTAAGCCTTGGAGAAGAGAATGCAGTGCGAATCTAACCGGATTGTCCCCCGTTTGACGAACATAGAGACTAGCCAGATCATGACAGTAGGAAAACACGGGTTTCGTGCGAAATGATCTATAGGGTGATGATGAAGTATAATTAATCAGGTTAATCTTCAAACTTAACCAACTTCTAGCACAAATAACCGGTAAGGTATTAGTAGCCACATGACATTCGGCGGAATAAGCTGGAGATCCGTTGCTAATTTCTTCTCGATTGCATTCACAGTTCGATGGACAAATGACATTCAGGGGTCGTGTCAATAGTCCACGCTCCTGGGGTTCATAAAACACTGCCCCACTTGTTGAGACAATAATTAAGATATGAATGCTAATCGACAGCATGCCTCTGTAACACAGAACCACTCAAAATGCGAATGGGAAATACAGTGGCTTACTTTTTCTACTGGTGAAAGGTTCTAACGACTACATTCGCGCGTGGTCAGCGTGCGAGAAGGCCAAATTCTATTGGTTTTGTGCGAGAGATCGATGAGGGAAAGAGTTGTCTCAGCCTGGCAAGTAAAAAATGTTTTTTTTCTTGGAAATACGCGTAAATAGGCAAAATTGCCGTTCTATTTCACTTAAGTGGTGGAAACGGATATTCCTCTGCAAGAGGGAAAGTCGTCTTGTTTAGAGCAATTAAACAGTCTGTTTGCTGTACATAAATACTAAAAATATTCCCGACCTGTTGAAATATTTCATGAAACTAACTGAAATTCTCTTTTTAAGAAAAGCTTATTAACTATTGTCATATTGTGTATGCTGGTTTATTAACAGTATTAATTATAGAATTGTTTTTACCATTAATTCTAATCTTTCTGTTTAGAACAGGCATGCACTATGCCATAGAATTTTAGCTTCAAGTATAATGACAGCACTAATGCGCTTTGAATGTTTGCATTGCCTCTGACTACTCATCTACTTCGCATGCACCCTTGAATTTGACACAATTACAGACCTCGTTTCTTATATATTTGCTTTAACCTTCATAAAGTCTCAGCTTATGAGTTATGGACTCTGAATTCGTGGAGAGGTTTGTGTATTCGTCATGCGTACTTAATTTGACGCTTTATAAATCACGGGAAAATCATCTATCGTAACAAGTCAGACTTGAAGAGATCGATATTCCTCGGTAGACAGCCAGTGATGCGGCTTTCCATCCGCACTTGTCAACCCTGCTCAACAAGAGAGGAGATTGGATGTAAGAAGCAGATAGGAATGGGTTCAGGATGGCTTACCTTGGTCTCTAGTAGTGTTGTTAGCACTTAATCGAATGAGCCAAGTGACGAATGACAAGTGGGCTGTGAACTACAAAAAAATCCCCAAAAACCCGCCCATTTTGGAATTTATCCAATGAAAAGAAAGTGGTGTGTGAACTAAGTGCTTATTAAAATATATGCGAAGAAAAACTTCATTCTTGATAAAAACACACAGTGCAATCTTCCAAACTTCCACACTTTTCAATTACTCCAACAGGATAAAATCGAAAAGGCATTCAACTTTACTCTGGTTCAAGAATGTTTCACAAAGTTTATTCTTTATCACCTGTAAAATTGTAAGAAATGAACTTCATGTTCTAACTTGCATCATTGAAATTAGTAGAGTTTGATTGAAAAATTCTTTTCTTTAAGATCTCTTCATTTTATGGAGCATTTGAGGATTTTCTTTATAACAAATATACAATCGATTTGAGTCATACTGACTAATGTTGAGAGGAATGGGGTGAGCGAGACTTACCTTCACGTGGTGCACCCTGGGCGACGTATGCTCATACGGCACAAAAGTCTATAAACCGGCAGTTGATTTATCACTTCAAACAGTCTGACCCCACTGTTGGCCATATTCGTAAACTTTCACAGTACTCATCTCACTCTTTCTCCACCTTTGTGTCTGTCTACCTCATTTACATCTGTGAATTACTCTTCTGTTCACCACCCCTCGACTTTCTGTTACTTCAATGTTCCCCCCTCCTCTCTGCGAAGCTTGAAGTCAACTAAAGGGCTAATGATAACTATTGAAACGCCTGCCATTTGAACTAAGTAAATAAATAAATGTTGAGAGGAATGCAAACAAGTAACCCTCAAACTAGGTTCTACTGTCAAATAAAGTTGACCTGACATGCAAAGCACATGACGGTAAAAATGCAAAAAAGAGAATACAACTGCAACACTTCGTTCGTGAATATTGAAAAGCAGATCAATGGTATTCATGACTAAACTCCTGCTTACTAAAATACTATCGATTATTCCAAACCGAAAAGGACATACAAGTCAATAGAGTATTGCTCTTAAGGTAGAAATAAGCCTTTCTTTGTAGACATTGCTCTGGCGAAGATTATATTATACATTTCCAAAATTAACTAAAAACTAAATTGGAAGACCGTGGAACGTTTGGGAAATTTGTTTTTATTGCTTTTACCACTTCAGAAGACAAAAGCACAAAATAAACAGCGATTGATTGGCAATATAAAGATTCTTTTAATCTTATCCTTCGAGGTGTCGACTAGTATTAGTGAGACTTGGAGGAGAATTCAAACAAGTATAGGTAGGAAAAAGTTAGCTGAACACAAAACGAAAATTGTTGGACATAATCGTACAGCCACATAATGCTTTGAGAGATGAGAATTGAAGTAATCGAAAGGAATAAAACTTTTGATCACAGCGGTGGTGTGGTCTTCAGTCGATCAGTGATGATATATTAGAGGAACAATTGATTAATAGAATTATCACTGACAGTCGGAGTATCTTTTGTATGCTTTGAGAGCGTGTTAGGTAGCACTGAAAATAGTACACCTTTATCTGATATCACATCTTTGTTCTGATCTCTGACACGATTCGGCGAACAATATTGATTGTACCTGAATAAAGTTGTGTTGAAACTTCGCTCAGGGGACAGTGAGGTTCGAGAACCGTTAGACCCCGTAATGGATGGCCATTGTTGAAAAAGACCTGACGTGTCCGAGACCTTTTCACTCAAACTAAATATGCTAGAGGGCTAAAATAAAGAAATAACCAGTAAGTTATTCAAACAAATATCAGCTTACCGAATGCTGATACGTTAAGGCCGGTCGTAATATATCACTTTCCATTCCAAATCGACATGCTTCGCCCCCTATAGGTCGTTTGGAAGGCGATGGAGTTTCAATTGAATGCCAGGAATTGTTTTGACTTTTGTTATCACCCAGATTTATGCCATTCATTTGTTCGCTATTTCTTGGCTGAGAGCACATTTTAGTCAACTTAAATTACTAAACTTGCACCAATGCTTTAAAGCAAATACAGTCTTAAATACCATTACGTAATTTGACCTAGAAAATTGAAGTGCTCTTTCTACCTTCCTAGTATATTCTTTCAACATTAGACCACCTTCTTAAAATGATTAGAAATGTCTTTTACATAGTCTTATTTAAAACAAACTCCGTTTTTGTAGTTCATAATAAGCGAAATTTTGCTCTTTTAGCATTTTGTTTGAGCTATAGTTGGCTGGAATTTACGATGGTGTTGGCACTCAAATTTATGTCACTTGGGTTTCGAGGAAGTTGAAAGTGGATTGCTTATTACTAAACTCGGGTTACCTCTCCAATGAGTGGGATGGAAAATAGAAGTTAGAAATGCGAGGTTAGTGGGAGAGTGTGGCAAAATGACAAAAAATCAGTTTCATTGTGCGTGCTGGTTGACTCCAGCAACAGGATCTCTTATCTGTTGAATTGCTTGTATGCCTACGGTCATCCAATGGTATCAGGGTTGCATGCACACCTTCCAAAGTAAATGGGCTGTTTTCTAAATCAGTTATCTATTAGACTGTAAGGCCAACAGAGGAAAGTAACATAAATATGGTTAAAGTAAGCTGTTGAGTCAAACGTCAATTTGTTAATTGTTCAAAAGAGTAACTGTTATAAAGAAAGCATTTGGCTTTAGCGGACACATCTACCGTCAGAATTAACTTATGAAGCTGAAGTAGGCACAGAGGTCTGAAGTCTACAAACTCTCGGAAACCATGAAGTATTTTTTCGTCATCTTGTTTCAACGGAAATTGAATTACTACTGAACAATGTTTCCTATTGTAACGCCGAAAACCTATTAAAGGTGACAATTTAAGGTACCAGAATCGTGGCACTTTCATTGAGTCATGCTCAAGAGGCACGATTTGCAAATTCTCTAGCTGGTTGATGCTATTTAAAGGTCCGGAAGATTGTGATAATTTAACTTACGTATTTCTCCACTACTGGAGTTTCAGGTGAATTCTCAACCAATGCACAGTTATTGAGCAGAATTTGCTGAAGCAAATTAATATTAGTTGGAGCACTCCTCTCCTGTTGAAATGGAGGCTCACCTCGATGTGCATATGTTTGCTGAAATCGGGGTCTCTGTTGTGCCCTATCAGTCAAACTGGAAATGCATTCTTGTGGTTTAAGCTTATGAAAATAGTTTGTGTTGTGCTGATTGGAGCATAAGTTCTGTTCATTTGATCCATTTTGTTGAGATAATGCCGCCATCTGCGTTTGAGGAGTGTGTAAAACTTCGACTGCACTGCCATTAGGGATATAAACCGATGCATGAGTTAGAAGAATGGAACCGGCAGGAATCAAAGTTGAATTTGATGGACAGGAGTTTTGTTGCTCCCGATGCAGCACAAATGCACTCGATGGGACCTGTATTACAGGAGTTCCTGTGGAAGTTAACGTCTGAGGTAAATCGTACTTAACTTCAGCGGAGTTGTTTTGGGAAATAACGGAATTCTGAGATGGCTGTTGAGCAAATCAAGTGTTATATTTTTTGGACAAAACCTACCACATAGCTAGTGGAGATGGGAGCAGTCTGATTGTTTATCGAAGTACAGGATAACTCATTGGTCACATTGCATGATACAGATGGGTTAGAAAATTTTATTGAACCATTTTCGTATACTATATGGTCAAAGTGTTAACTTTTACTTACAATGATGCTGAAATACAGGCTATAGGAGGAAAGAATGATCAAATTACTCATCATGTACCTGTTTACGTATAGCATGGCCAATATTCAACTTTCGATTATTAAAAATCAATGATTCACCCTCGTGTTTAATTAGCCATTCCGCGATTTCCTGATTTTCAAATGTAATAAAACCATAGTTTCCCTTTGACAAAATCGAATGATCAAAAATAATTTTCACGTCTTTAACATGACCATATTTTTCAAAGAACTTTCGCAGGTCATCTTCTGTAGTCTGGAACAATGGAAAGCAAGAAGTAAGGTAGAAATAAACTTACAGTTGATGAAATACCTCCTACGAATATGCGATTGGGTATAATTGTGCCTATTTTGGGTACCACTATGTTAGAAACTGAAGATGGGACCGATTTTGGCATTGAGAGGGGATTCATAACGTGTTCAACGAGTTAATATAAGTACAAAAATGCAGAAAATAATTGTAGGCAGTTCGTGTTCGGCCTCTTGGAATTTATTTTAAAGGTTCTGTCAATAAAACGACGTTGCAGTCATATGATAAGCCGTTGATATATGTACGAACTTAATGACATTTTGTCCGATTGGGAATTGAATTAACAACATATCGATTTTAACTTTAAATCTGAAATTCAGTATCTGAGAGCAGTAAACGAATAGCTTAATTGTAAGTAATTACTATGTATTCCAATCTTTAATTTCAATAAACATTCCAAACATAATTTAATCATTTAACGGCAAAATACTATACACCTATGAGACATATGCAGTCATTGAAAATTCAACAGTACCAAATGGTTTTGCGACTTTTCTTTGTTCTTCACACATTGCTCTCATTATATCAACAGATAAATTGTTGTTTTAGCAATTCTAAGTTACCCCAAATATAACTTTGATAATTTTATCTCAATACTCATTCCAATTGCTAGTATTGTATTATTCAAGGTCCTGTCATGGAGACAGGTAATTTGAGTCTATTTGACTCCGTCATCTGCTAAATAAAATTTACATCATTTATGGATATGAACTGTTATAATCGATAAAAGATTTGAGTTAGTTTAGACCTGACAACTCTAGAGTCATTCAGGAATTTGTACGTAGTTCACAAAGCCTTTCAGAAATATCTTCATAAAATTAAATCTTCATATTATCGCACGTGTAGTGCACTTTTAATCTTCTGGGTTTTGATGTGAACTTCAGCGTTGAATCATGCTCTGCTGTTTGTGTATTTCAAGTCTTACCCTTCTGGACGCGTGTTTAAAGGGAATAAGATTTGTACCTGACTGTGGTTGGTTTTTCAATGATAAGATACGTGTCGTATACTGTTAAGCGCTTGACGTTATCATCTATTAGGGGTGTCTAAAACAACTTCCATGGTTTTAAAAACCTGGCCTAAACGAGGATCAAGGTATTGATGGCATTTAAGCAGAAGTAATGTCAATCAATGTTTGGAGATTTGTAGACTAATTGCCTCAAGAAATCTTAAATAACAGTGGTCATGATAGTCAGTAACTGCGACAATGGAGTAGAAGACAATGATCAAATGAATTAAAACTTTCTAAAATTATAATATTCTGACTGACAAATCAGTAGATTTCGTCAGAGGGCTAGCCACAGATAACTCACACTACGTAATAACTTCTAAAGTGCGAAATCATAATCCCCTTCTGTGACCTTGACCTGCATGTCGGACGATAACGAGGCTACAACTAAGTTATTTATAATGAGATTGATCAAAAAGTGAGCGTTGCAAGATCTTTCCTCCCTACCTGAACGGCTTGACAGCTCCGAGACCCTAGAAAACCGTGATAACTCTAGTCCGAACAACTAATCACTACAGTTCATCATATTCATCACACTAAAACTTAATGAGCTTTTCATACATGATTTCCGGTGTTTTCACTACATTGAACTTAGCTGAGGTAATTTTTGGGGGCGAGACATTTTATCCTAAAGGACAGAGGATTAGTAAGATTTGATTCGCTAGGTTTTACCAATTAGGGTTCATCAATTGCTTACTGCTTCCCTTTGAAATACAGCAAAGTAATCAAGTCTTAACCTTAGAACGATAAAACTAATGTTCATTCAACTAATGCCAGATTGCTATTGGGTTGGCAACTAAGTCATTGCCGTTTTTGTTGACAGATTCACTCTATACTTTCTTTTGTTTTGTTAACGTGGCCAGAGCATCTAACCTATATTTTCTTCCTACTGTATGGGGTTCTAGGTTAATTAGTAAAAAATTTTTTTATTTAGTTCTTTAGTTTTGTTTTTATCCCAATTTAAAAATGAAGGAACAGGACGTGCACTTCCGACACATTTTATTGTATTACTTCCGAAAAGGCAAGAACGCATCGCAAGCACAAAAGAAGTTATGTGCCGTATATGGAGATGAAGCCTTAAAAGAAAGGCAGTGTCGAAATTGGTTTTTAAGATTTCGTTCCGGTGATTTTTCACTGAAAAATTCACAACGATCTGGCCGCCCAGTCGAAGTGGATGAAACCCATATCAAGGCCATTATCAATTCAAATCGTCACAGCACAACACGAGATATTGCAGAGAAGCTCAATGTGTAGCATACATGCATTGAAAAAAAATTAAAAACCCTTGATTATGTCAAGAAACTTGATTTACGGATCCCTCACCAGTTAAAGGAAATTCATTTGACGCAACGGATTAGCATCTGTGATTCGCCGCTACTGAAACGCAATGAGAATGATCCATTTCCGAGGAAGAACCTAGTTACTGGCGACGAAAAGTGGATAGTTTATAACAATGTTACTCGCAAGAGATCATGGGTGAAGCAAGATCAACCAGCCCAAACAGTATCAAAAGCAGAGATTCACCAAAAAAAAGATTATGCTGTCAGTCTGGTGGGATCACAAAGGAATTTTGTATTTTGAACTCATGCCTCAGAACCAAACGATAAATTCAAATGTGTATGTTGAAGAACTCGAAAAACTGAAGGATGCAATTGAAGATAAGCGGCCGGCATTATCAAATCGGCGGAAGGGTGTTGTTTTCCATCATGATAACGCAAGGCCCCACACATCTTTGGTTACTGGGCAAAAATTATTGGAACTGGGTTGGGATGTTTTGTCACACCCACCATATAGCCCTCACCTTGCGCCTTCGGATTACCATTTGTTTCGTTCCATGCAAAACTCTTTAAATGGTAGAATTTTTAACAGCGCGGATGATGTCGGATCACAACTAATTCAGTTTTTTAATAGCAAAGACCAGACATTTTACGAACGGGGAATTTTTACTCTGCCAGAACGATGGAAAAAGGTCATCGACAAGAACGCCCAATATCTAATTGAATAAAGTTATATTTTTAAACAAAAATTCCGAATTTGCCTTCTTATTTGAAATCGACAATGACTTAGTTGCCAACCTAATACATGACTTCTCGTTTTCGTTTGGAAATATCTTAGAGCAGGCTATCGTGAGGACTCTAAGTCACAAGTAAAGAGAGCGTTAACAGCACAACTGCAATGCATTGGGAATCAGGAAAAAACGCCAGAAGCCTTCGGGAAAGCTAGGGATTCATTCTCGTGATCAGATACTTGCATTATGTGCCCCGCTTTTAAACACCCAATATTCAGAAGACTAATGTTATTGTTAGAGACTTACAGCATTTGATTAAGAAAATACTAACTCAAATAAACGAAATATAATTGTCAAGGTATAAAATATAAGAAATAAATACAAGCAGCACAATCATTTGGCAGACATACAAGAGGATCCAGAGCAGCCAGAGGTACAAGAAAAATCCTTATTGATATTTAATCTGTTCAGATTGGCTACGTCATCAGGAACTTTACACGAACGATCCACCTTTGCCTTTTCACCCTCTCCAATTACGATTTCCGGTAAGCCTTGATTGAGTTTACTCAGCAGAATACAAGCTTGACAATACTCCTGACTAGAAATATATCCACAGGTTAGGCATTCACCTAGACGTTAGAAAAAATTCGTCAATCACAGTATAAAGTGAAGCAACAGATGAGAAATTAGAAAATAACGTACGTTGAATGGGAACCTTTGCGTCAGTTCTAATAACCATCTGCTCCCCTGAACTTATTATATCTACAAAAGAGAAAACAAACTAATAGTAGAGAAAAGTCATTGTTCCAAGTCCGATAAAAACAGGCTAATTACCCAGAATGCTCCTAGGACGAATCTTTTCTAGATCTTTGATGTAGGATCTAGCAAAGCCCCTATAAGCATAGGGAGCATACGTGCATTCTGTACAGAAATAGTCCAGTTTTAACGCATGAGCATACATTACAATCTCCTTTTCAAAGGCATATTTGAGAGGTTTGAAACGAGGCATCATTCCATTTGCACCCTAAAATCAATGAAATGGATTTCAAAAATCGTCCTATTGACCATGCATAGCACGGATGGCAGAATGCTTACTGTGATTATATCTGTACACCGTTTCAGGCGGCCAATATCGCACCTAAGAACTGGAATATTGGAGTTATATGACCAAACTACTTAAATTTACACAAGTAGGCACTCACTATTCATTAAGACTGTTTCGGCAATATCATCTGCATTATGGCCAGTGCAGATTTTGTTAGCGCCTACCAAGACTGCTCCTCTATCGAGGGCCTGGCGACGGAAAACTCCACAATATGTACAATTATTTCTCAAACCAATCTTTCTAACAATCTCGTCCATTGACCAACCGTAAAGTTCCTTGTAGGAAAGAATTTTCAAGGGGAGACCATATTGCACTTTATTACGCTTAACCGTCTGAAAGAAAAAAAAGGTAAATCGCAAGAAATTCAATAAACCTCAAGGGAATCATCTCGGTAACCAGTGATTCCCTCGTCGATTGATAGGAGGATTAAATCAACGCCATAGTCGTAGCGTTCATTCAAGGTTTTCATCACATGAGCAAGAACCGTTGAGTCTAATATTAGTTATTGAGAAATATTTACCAACCTTTTCCCCCTGATGCTCCAATCGCTACTTTATCACCTCTAGAGAGTAGATTAGAAGTCTTGATTGTCCAATGAATTTCCTCTTCGAAACACCAGATAAAGCAATCCCGACAGGTAACATCGCCTGTCTTAGGTCGTTTGATGAAGCCTTTTGATCCACAACGTACACATTTAATCATTCTGTAAATTGATATAGAAAAGGAATTTGATGTTGCAAAGTAATGTTATTGATGACACTATATATACAAAAATATATGTATATGTATAAAATAAAAGAAGAGTGGCATAACTCTTCAAAGCGTTTGTTGTGTATAAACTAAGATAAAGGTAAACTTATATAAGTTTGTAGAAATTCATGCGACTACCTTGCATTGGGTGAAAGCCTAGCACGCTTGGGAGACAGAAAGCGTAAATAAAGGTCACTAAATTCTCAGAGGCATTTGGAATTAATTTTATTATTATGTTGATATATGTGTTAAATTGCATGATTAAATTATCAATCATTAGTTAAAGTTGTTAAAGCACAATGAATTTTGATTGATAAATTTAGTTTTGATGAAATGGAGACAATCTTTATCTGAATAATAATTTTACCGAGTTTGTTGGTTCATTATCTAGATTTAATATTGCTTTTAAATTTAACAAAATTCTGGATAGTATCAATACCCAAAAAGACATTATATATATTTGTTTAAAATGGTTATTTTTGGAAAAGTTTATCATGTTAATTCCACATATTCCTATTTATCGGATTAATATCATTTAAATGTAAAGATTGGATATACATTTCCTCTCCACTTGTAGATTCCCATATTTTTACTCCGATTTTTAAGTTATGTTGCCTTTTGACGTGAATGCGATGTTATCGAAGTCATTTTATATTTAATTGACTGGAGTCATGCATTTGTCTTTCCACGTACTATTTTATTAAATTTATTGACGAATTTTAGCATCTATTTCATATGGCTCAACTGCCTGATTTTTTTAACATTATATTTACTGGTGAAGGAGTCTAGTTATTATTTCCATCTACATTGAATATAAAATTACTTAAAATTTTATGGTAATTCAGTTCTCTGCAGCATAATCTATTTAATTAGTAGAGGCTTATATCCAAATTCAGGAAGTTACGACCCTCCTTAATATAAGTCCATAAAGTACACATTATTTCATACTTTATCATATTGACGAAAGGTATCAATTATTTAATGCAAATATAGCTTTTATCGGAAGCTCTTGCACATATTCACTTTCTCCTGTGCATGCCCACATTCTTCTGTTAGTCTTGAAGTACATTTCAATATTTAATGGCATTTAAGTAAATGAATTCAGTCCTGTCGAATTATGTAGCATTTAGATAAGTGCTTCTATATGTTCGATAAGGCAACATTGAAGGTTGTTGCTTAGACATTCGTCAAAACTACAATAAGTAAGCAAATTAGTGAATTTCAACTTCACTCTCTAACTATTTTTCCCAACAATGTAGTTAATAAGCGTCTATGATATTGTACTGAGCATACTATTTGATTTGCAAAGTAAAATTCAGCATTTTGGTTAAATTAGGTGATTTTGATATTAGTTTTATTTCTTAACAATAAGAAAAACTGCAGGATAAGGGCAGATTGGACAGAAACGCCAAATTTATATTCATACTTTTGCTTTATGACTATTTATTTACCTGTTTATTAAACACAAGCCAATAAAATAAAGAAACTCTGGACCACCTGTAGGTGGTTAATTGGTGTAATACATTGTTCTAAGTACTTGAGCGTCTCTACTACCCGAGATTTATTTCAGTTGAGTAGTTCTAGTAATTCATCTAATTGTGAAAATTTCTGCTTTCGAAATGGAATTGTTAAATTTCAAGTGACAAAGAATACGTTCTTTGGAGGACGGGGGGGAGGGGAGGGGATGGTAAATAGATTGGCAGAATCCCTAGGCTTCAAAATCATTTACAATATCATTACTAGAAAGGACATTGAAGATAAAACAGTGAAAGATAGCACTCTATTTCTGATAAAGACAGTCAATAATGGTACAAGTTGTATGTATATACAGCCATTGTAGGATGAGTTAATTACCGTTATTTTGAATGTCACTTCGGTAGTAGTTTGAGGGTTAATGCCTAACTCACTTCTTATCAATAAATAACTTTACTGACTGACCATAATTTGAGAGCATTGTTTGTCGAGGTTCAAGCTTACCCCATAAAACCCGAAAAAAATAACGACAAATCCAAGAACATAAAAAATAACACGCGATTACTTTGAGCAGCATTTAAGTTGCACTGCACAACATATCTCATAATTACTTATTTCCAATCAAATGTCAAATGACGTGATGTAATAATTTAAAAATCCCAGATGTCATAGTAGAATGAGTTAAGACGGATGGAATTCTGTTCAAACTGTTTTAATACTAGAATTGGGCCATCGAATCATATTTTATGAAAGTCGAGGTAGAGCGGGGTTATTAAAAAGTTTATATAAAGGGTGACTGCTATATATGGCATTTTATTGAATGAAAGTTGGCACTAAAGAACCAAAGTGCTAATTCTCGTCTAGTGCATTTTGTTGAACTTTTATTTGTCTATAGACCGCGAACTTTTATCAACCTATGTTTACTTTAGGGTAAAACATTTATTAATAATTAATTGTCTTTTAATTTCGCATGTAAAATAGTCGGGAAATGTAGCTTAAAGAGAGGAATAGTAATCGTTTGGGGTTAAATCTTCTTCCTAGCCACAATAACAAAATCTTGAAACTTTACGCGATTCCTTATTTGGTACATTTTATTAAATTTAGTGAGTAACCAGCCTTTTAAACTATCCTATCTACTACCATATACTCCTATATTAACTAAGAACCATTCTTAATTTGAATGGTCAATGATGCTATCAATTTTATGTGCTCCAATCATATTCACGAATTGCAATTATAGCAACCATATTATCATTTTATTGTATCTACCTCGACCGTACTAGTTAGAACACGTCATCGCTTAATGTATGATCGTATTCCTGTACGCCAGAATTGGGACCAGCGACAGTACAAACCTAATCCGCCATCCTGATCATGACTAAGATCCCTGCGTGTACACTTTACGCTTAATAAACCTACCGAGGGGTGTGGGATAGACTTACTTCCTCGTGATGCGCCCTGGGCAACGTATAATCATACGACAAAAGTCTTTTAACAGGCAGTTGACTTCTCACTTCAAATAACCATCACCCCCACTGTATGGCATATTCGACCCCTATCACAGTACTCATAATATCCTTTCTGAGCCTTTGTGCCTGTCTGTTACTTTTACATCTGTGAATCACTCTTCTATTCCCCCTCCCGAATTCTTCTCACTTTGATGTTCCTTCTCCCCTCTCTGAAGCCCGAAATCAACTAAAGGGATGATGATAACTATCAAAACGCCTGTCATTTGTTATAAATAAATAACCCGACTGAATAAACGTGTTCTGTGCTGTACGTCTGTTTCCTCTATAGCTGGGCTGTGGCTTAGCTAATTCTGGGAGTCTAGCTAGATGTAGGAGAATCTGCCACATGGATTTCTGAGTCAGTCAGGCTTTACTAGTGTAGCAATCCGCTAGAGACATTTCGATTTTTACATAGCTTTTTCCTCGCGCATTTTACTGAGCAACTAGCAACAGGAACAGGTTTAATTCAAGGAGAGGAAAAAGACAGAAAGAAAGATTCAATAAAGGGCGCTTCAATTGATATGTTTTAATGGTAAAATACAGCCTGTTATCAATATCATTATTCTACCAAGGCTCAGGTAAGCTCAAAATCAAAATGGAAGGAGTATTTGACTTTGTGAGCGAGTTGAAATAAAATGGCAAGGAGGTACTCTTTCAAACGCATGAAACACTTCGGTGAATGTGATTGTGTATCCAGAGGATCTCTCAGACACCCAACTATTGACTTTTATTCCAGTTATGTTAAATGTATTCAACCACAAATTATATTTGCTGTGGTCATAACTTCACCAAGCGTTATACTCATTACTTGTCTAATTCTTCTAACTAATTTAGATGGTTTAACCAATTCAAAGAGTCATTCCATAGAGACTCGTGCTGCAATCCAATTAAAACCTATTGTACTGAACGTTGGATAAAAATGCGAATAACACACACCTATAGATGGACAAACATATCTGTAAAAAACGTATTTATATAATTCACGGGCAAGTTTCTAGACAACAAACATTTGGCGACATTTTTTTTCCAATTCACCTATTTTGCAAATAGTTATATAGTTGAAAGAGAGGTGGAGTTCGTTTACTGCCAAAATCTCCGAACTTGTGTGTCGAATAAATATTTATCAGATCTTTGCGTGGTCAAGAGGTCAGATTATACCTCAATACACGTGGACTGATTATGGACCACACAGGCACAAAAAGTCAATTGTGGAGGAAGGAAGCCTCGAATATCTTTATAAATCTACTTACACCGTGTGGTTGGTCCAAGCTGGAGCAAGTGACATGCCCATTACCCGATATCATACGTGTGAGTCTTTGTTTATTTTCGAACTTCTTAGTGGTACTAGGAGAATTCCAGCAAGAACTTCTTTGGTCATCGTAAAAGTAAGTTCAAAACATGATTGGGAGCTTGATTGTTGGAGAAAGTAATATTCAATGAATCTCCTTTGTGAATTTATGCGTATTGGGGAAAAATTCAATCCCCAGTCAATTCATCATTTGATTTGTTTCCAAAATACCTGTAACATGGGTCGTCAATTGTATTTCTATTCTTTCTGTTTCCTCTAATGTTCAGACTTCCGTTGAACATGAGCTGTGTTTTTTAACTACTTGTTGGTGTTTCGACATTAATAAGCTACTAGGTTTAAATCCCATGTCAAAAAATTTCCGAAGCTGGGTGCGTAATCTAATACGTCTTTTGGTCAAATTGAAAAAAGAGATTTGTTGGTGAGAAGTTAACGAATAACGCAACATCACAGGCATTGATTCCAATGCATTGGATGAAACTAAGTGTAAACAGTGAGGAAATATTACAATTCCAGTGACTCCTATGTGCATATGTCCTTGTATTAGATCCACCAACCTCATTCATATCTTATCACCCATCACGGAGATCTTTCACCCTTCTTATCTTAGCCATATTATTATTACATTGAAGTTATTAAAATGAATTAAAATCTTTAACCTCATA